GCGCAATACTACAGTGAGGTGTTTCTCAAAGTTGTAAATTCTTGGTATGTCATCCACTGGGAGTTGAAGGAGTGGAATTTTTTTTGAGCGTGTTCGAAGCCCCTGACCTAAAAATTCTCGCAGTACTGAATCCGTCAATGACCATTCTAATCATTGACATAACTGCCGATGACAATGCGCAGTGGTGTTAGGTCTAGGATGATCTCAGTTGCTGCTGTTGGGATGTTCTCATAGCACCTGTGATGCAGATGCATGCAAGTCTCTGCACTTTACACAAGTTTTGGCTTGTTGTACGTTACTCTAGTTTTGTGTACCAAGCAACTGCTCCATAGGTAATCATAGCTCTTACTATCATGGTATAAATCCAGCGTAAAATGTTAAAGGCGAATCCCGATCTATTTCCCGTCAGTCTTCTACATATCATGAGAGCCTTTGTGGCTTTGCTGGTAATGTTCTTAATGTGCCTGTTCCATAGAAGTAGTTTACTGTCCAGGGTTATTCCCAGATATTTGACTTCCTCTGATGGCAGTATTTTCTTTCCATCTATTTTGTTATGATTATGTGCGTTTTATGAATATAAGCAATAACTCTTAGAAGATCTTCTAGAAATTATTGATATAAGTCGGTCCAATGATCCATTATGACAGTTGTGCCTGTCACTTACTTTACGTTAATTCACAAGTAAATATTATTTTCTGGTGGATTTTGATTGTCATCTGTCAAGATCTTCCTTGAATCGTTAAACAGTCTTGCGCTCACACTAATTTTATATGCAACGGGTAAATTAGTTTGGAGTTATAGGTATATAACGTGCAGTGTATGGATTTTACCAATAAATAGCATTTAATAATGGCAAAGCGACTATTAAAAGAAGTTTAATTCAATTCTAATGTCATCTGTAAAGTATGCAATGAATACCTTTGTATTGGTTACAAAGGCAAAATAATATACTTAACACTGTCTCAACTACCTTTAATATCCTCTTTAAAGTATGTCGGTCTGTCCAACAGTCTGTCAGCGAAAAATATCGTTAAAGGACCTCCAATCAATGACGCAATCAAGCAATAACTCTCACTGTCAGATAGTCTTTAGATAGACAAACTTTACATACCTAAATAAATCCATAATTTAGTTTTTAACGACGAAGACCGGATTTTGCCCGAAATTTTCAAGATTGTATGTAAACCCTAGTAATATCATAGCAACAGATATAATACCAGTAATATCGCATAGTAATATCACAGTAATACATATGTATAATAGGTATAATATTATTGTAGTATTGGTGTTCACGTGCATGCCTCATGTATTAGATTGCCTTTGGTGCATCTTCCCGTTCAATAAACCTTAGCTTCAGAAAATATAAAAAACATAATAAGAATATTAGGCTTAATTAATCTCTAATAATGCTTAAAATTAGTCGAACAATTTAAATAACTAAATATTGATAAATCAGTACATACCATTTATACATTTATTCGCTATTTTAACAACTTGAATTTTCGACAAACATCGCTGGTGCGGCACATTATGCATAAGTAAATTATACATTTCCATTGTCGATTCATTGTATCGCAATATTACAAAAGCATCTCGAATAAACTCTTTAAAGGAGCTCTGAAAAATACTTTCAGCTATTTCATAACCATTTGAAACATTTTCAGTAAAATAAACCAAAAATAGAGCTTCTGAATCAAAATTTGATGTCTTAGTCAATTTGGACAATTTATTGTTAAATTCTTCTAAACTTTCAACCATCAAAAAATAAAGCTGAGGATAATGATCCAAAACGTGATAGTTCTTGCACTTTTTGTGCTGTTTGAACGATTGAACTTCTTCAGGATCGTTGGGAAGATTTTGACAGTGCTCAGAATAAGATACGAATTCTTCTCGATCGTCTTTGAATATTTCGATTAACCATTTTTTCTGCTTGTAAATGCTCTTCAAAATTTTGTCCTGTATAAGAAAATGTTCAGAATCTGAGTTTTCCAGACCAACGAATACTAAAAGGAACAGAGGTAATCTTGTTTCATTAAAAGTTGACTTGCAATAATCGTAAGCATCTATGGTTAACTTATCTAAACATTGTAAAGCATCCGTTTTATCTTTGAGCTCTGGTAACACAAATTCTCTCAATTTATGTGTTTTATGTACGATAGCAAATATCATTATTATATAATTTACGAATATAACAAATTGTATAAAATACATATTGTAGGGACAACTTTACATACTCTAAAAGAGTTACAACAATTACAACAAATATATTATGAAATTTAATAAAAAATGGCCAAATGTCTATCGCCATGAGTAAAAATTGTATTTAATTATCTGATGCACGAATGCATAGCTTTAAACATGAAAAGTACTTTAAAATATTACAAAGTAAGTACATAATGAAACTAAGCTTTATTCTAATCCTATGTTTGATAAAAAAATAATTTCTAAAATTATTCTATGGCATTTAAAAAATATAGATATATCAAAAAGACTGGAGTATTGTTTTGACCTAATACTTTCTACCCAATATTAATTTTTCAATCATCTAGGTATATTATTTTTATCAGCATCATCATCAGCATCATTTTCAGCTTATTCAACCGTTTCCAATTATGGTGTAGCCTCCCTCACATATTTAGATACTCTCTTTGCGGTTGGAGTTGAGCCCAAGGGGGGCCTAAAGCTTTTGTTTTTTTAAAAATGAAAAATAATTTTAAAAAACACATTTTTTGAATAAAATTTTACATGAATAAATTTCATAGACTTGGTTATCAAACCGTGTTCCCGTAGATTACTTAAATACCTACAAATTTTCTAAAAAAAATAAAAATTAACACATTATTTGAACACAATAAAATAATATTAACTAAACAAAACTAGAAAACGTCATTTTTACTACATCACAAGCAAATAAAAATTAATACGTAGCCAAGAGTCATAATTCAGGATTTCTGTGGGTTTCAGCGGTACCTGGGGGGGGGGGTCCGGCACCCCCTGGCCCCCCTGATTTCCCTCTCCCTAGTTTGGAAATAATATTTTAAAAATCAATAATTTTATTTATGTATACAGTGTCTTAAAAATAAATGTTTTGAATTTAAAGAAATATGTTTATTTTTAATTAGGCGGTTCATCTCAATAGAAATGAGTCTAAAATTATATTTATTAACGCAATTTGTTCTAACACCTATTAGAAAATAATGAAAAATCTACCCATAATGCATAATAAAGCATTGTATCACAGTGGCACACATAGATACACTTTACATTCATTTAATTTTATTCTAATTCAATTATTAGATAAATATCCTAACAACTAAAGATGGCTTACTTTTTCTATTACTAAATAATATAAAGTAATTAGAAATGAAAAAATATTATTAAGAAAATAGCCAGATTAGGAGGCCCTAAATATAATATATTCGAAAAAAAATCGGCGTCAGAGATGGCTTGGAAATGACGATCGCTGTCTTTTTTTTCTGTGTGGCGGGCCACAGCGGCATTCAAGGCAGCAAAAGAACTGACGAACTAAAAGTAACGATCGTCGGAAACATAATTTAGTCCAGAACCAGGGGAAACTGGAAGTAAGCAGATGGTCGGTAGTGCAGTAAAGGTCTGGACCAAAAAGATCCAGATACCACGTTGGAGTAACAGATAGGAGTACATGCATAGCAAAGCTTTCATCCGAAGACCTAACTTTAAAGAACCTAATTACGAAGGAACTGCTATTGCTCAGCAGGAATAAAGTGCGAATTAAAACAGGTCTCTTGAGAGAGTATATGGCTGTTAAGTGTCACCTAAACAAGCTCAACCTGGATCAAGAAAACCTTTCCTGCAAAACCTGCGATAAAGATCCGTATATAGCAGAGCACATGTTTAGTGTAACACTCCACTCACTGGACCAGAACCGTTCTGTTTTCCAAGCGAAAACCAGCTTAAAGCGGAAATGAAGAACCTGGAGGACTCTATCTGTAACTAGGAATGGAATCCTATAACGCCAACGGTCTAAGACAATCGAAAAAGTGCCCCAAAACTTAGACCAAGAAAAATCGAAAATTTTCCTTGATTTAAATAAAAACAATCTTCGGATTGTCACGGGGTTTGTTAACCAAACCAAACCAAACCAAATCACAACCTGGATCAAGAAAACCTTTCCTGCAAAACCTGCGATAAAGATCCGTATATAGCAGAGCACATGTTTAGTGTTCGCTAGATCATGTCTAGCGAACACTCCACTCACTGGACCAGAACCGTTCTGCTTTCCAAGCGAAAACCAGCTTAAAGCGGAACTGAAGAACCTGGAGGACTCTATCCGTAACTAGAAATGGAATCCTACAAAGCCAACGGTCTAAGACAATCGAAAAAGTGCCCCAAAACTTAGACCGAGAAAAATCGAAGATTTTCCTTGATTTAAATAAAAACAATCTTCGGATTGTCAAGGGGTTTCCAACAGGACACTGTCTCCTCAACGATTATCTCAGTAGATTGAAGCTGAGAAACAACAAGCTGAGAAACAACGATCACCTTATCACTGAGTGCGCGGACACGACCTTTCGTGCCATAAACTTGTCAAAGCCCTGAGACTGTATGATGAGTTGTAACTCGTTATAACTCAAGAAAGTGAAACACACAATAGTTCTGTATAAGGTCGCGGCGATTAGCTCCCTTCCTAAACATTCTACATTCTAGGAGAACAAAGAATATGTCACTGTGAGACTCTGAAATACAAGTGACATTTTCTAATAGAAAAAAACAAGACAAGAACCGGAGGAACTTTGATTCCAATCCATCAAGAACCTGGACAAGGGATACGAAACTGGGTACAAACATAGAAAGGGGACAAACACAATAGGCCCTAGAGATTGCAGTGTTTTCTGCATAAGACAGTCCCTTGAAAAAATGTACTTTGATTTTAATAATATAAAAACTTTTATTTGAAATTTTCTATATTTACTAGGCAACAGTTTTAGCTATTAATCCATCGCATTTTTTAATATTTCTAGGAACATTTGGATTTGCCTACAGAACAGAAGACGGTATATCTCACGCGGCTCAAGGAGATCCCACTGGATTTATCCAAGGCAGTTACTCCTACAAAGATCCAACTGGACTTAAAGTAAATTTTAATTATTTTGCGGGGTCCAGAAATGCTCCTTCTAACCCGGCTCCAAGATATCCAGAACCCAGTTATAATCAAGTACAAGAACAACCAGCGTATGATGACAGGTATTTTATGAGTGCATATTGTTAGTCAAATTTGTTTTTCGATTTTTTTAATTATCTTTCAGTGCTTTTAGTAATTCAAATAAAATTTTGAGGATAAAACTTACTATAAGAGCTACACATTTTAATGCCAAAAAAGTGTCGACAGATTGACCAAGGACGTGAATATGAGTTATCATTGAACTTTTTTTAAGAAACCCATGTACGCCACTGATTTTCTTTTCTCTTGTTAGCAAAATTGTGTAAGTCCTTTAATGCAGATTAAAAGTTTTATTTTGATGATTTGTTGATTTCGTTCTCCTTGATGAGGTAAACGCAATTTTTTTGTATTAATCACGATTATTAAAAATAAAATAAATAAATGATTTCTTTCACTTAATTTGCCGCCTTACAGAAAATTTAAAAAATAACGGTATTTAAGATAATTACAAAAGACCTATATTTTTAAAAGTTTTACCTAACATACTGTAACTTTAGAACTTGCATTTCTGCACCCATGTTAATAGAATTTTTTTTTTCATTTTTTTTTGAGGAGTAATCAATTAGTACCTAATTTTTGATCAGTTAATAACGTTAAATTTTTTTAAAGGTTATTGCTATTAGACTTGAATTAACGCAAAATAATAAAATGGCGTTTATCTCATCAAAAAGATCGAAATCGACAAATACCAAGAGCCAACTTTTAATCGGCATTAAATGTTCCTCACAAATCTGCTCAAAGAAGAGAAAAGTCAGTGGCGCACATGTTTTTTAGAAAAAATCTCCAGTGATAACCCATCCATATAGATATACGTAATATATCGAATCTTTTTAGCATTAAAATATGCCACACTTATAGTGACTTTTACATTCAATTTCATTCGAATTTTTTCGAAATTCGAATCGCTAAAAGCATTTGGAAGAAAATTATAATAAATCGAAAAAAAGACGACCTTAACTTCCTGTAACTACGAAATGAAGTAGAATCGGACCTATGTTTATATTAAAAATAAATCTTATTTTTACGTGCGGAACCTTGCCTATAGATATTGCACAGGTTGTTTGAAACACTCTGTATACTAGGCAGTATATCCATTAATAATATATAAATTTGTACTAAAGGTCTGTAATATTCATATTATTTTTAGGCAAATTGAAGATGATCGTCCAGTCGAACCATACGTCCCAAGAACTAGACCTCCATCTACTTATTACAATAAACCACAGAGTAATTACCCAAGATACACCAGCACCTCTAGAGATAATGAAGTTTACGAAGGTCAAGAACAATACAGAGGATAATATATTTTTAATAATTTCATATTTGTTAAGTATAAGTGCCATTGTAAGTAACACTAAAAATAGTTTTTACTGAATAAAGAGATGAAATAGTTTTCTTTAAAAAAAACACAAAAAATGCATAATTTTTAATGTTATGTTAAAGTATACAACATGATCGAAAAAAAACGGTGTTAGCGATGGCTATGAATTGAAGCTCGCTGTCATTTCGTATGTAAAATTATATGGAGAATGTTATCGATGTTCATTTCCAAGTCTTCTAGACGCCATTTTTTTCGATCATACGGTACTATAATAATTCTTATACAACCCCATACAGCACATCAAATCACATTTACGATGTGTTTACATTATTAGATGTCGACACAGGGTGACACAATTCCCCCAATGTAAATATGCTACTTTTACACATTGTAGTTCAACACGTATGCACAAAGGTTAAACGTCCGTCTCACAATGTAGCCACAGTATAGCATTTACGTATACACAAAGTAAGGGATACACAGTGTGCCGTAGGATACACAGTGCTTGTGTATTACGTTTAAAGTATATTTACACATTGCAGTTATGACTACCGCGTGTATACGTATGTATACACGCTTCGAATATACATCTTGTGCTAGATAAAACTACTTCTTATGAACGAATTTAGGAAATAATAAAAGTTTTGATGGCCTAACTTTTCGTTCTTTTTAAGAAATATTTATTCAATGGTACCAATAATATTTTTTTAGAACGAAAATTAGGAATGCAAAACTTTGTATTTTCCAAAAGTATCTCGATCGTAAGTTCAAGAGAAGTAGCCTTAAAATTGTTCCATTTTTGTTTTGTATTAAATGTACCATTTTTCTTCCATAAAATGGATTAAGTGGTTAAAAAATAAAATTCTTATATTTCTTTATATCATGGAACGCAATAGCGCAAATAACACAATAATAATAATTATTTACACTGCAGAAACCAGAAGTAAGAAAACACTGTAAAAGAACAGAATTTGTATCAAAATGTATTAAAAATATAAGTACCTAGCATAACAACATACTAAAATAGAAACACTGGTATATCGCTACGATTTGGTAGACCTCGTTTAGTCATTTTTTTCTCCTCTTTTCCCTCCAAGCAATTGGTTTATTAGCATACTAATTCATCAAGCACTCTGTTGGACTTTGTTGTATCTTATTTCCAGATTAACAATCTCACCCTTAAATTTTATATGAAACTGATTATTGAATATTAAACATATCTGTATATTGATCCATCAATAACTTACCGAATATCAGTGTAAGAAGTTCTTTAAATCTTTCTTTTTCTGGTCCATTTAGATTTTTATTATTTCCAAATTAAAAAAAAATTATATTGCAGAGCTAACTCAGATAGGTAACCTCTTTATCATAATACTAGAATATTTGGAGTTTTCATTCATTGGAGTCAAAATTTGGTAAATTGGGTATTGAGTAAGGGAAGAGTCGCTGCTATAATATTAATAATACTCTTAGGAAGGTGTAACAAGGTAATAAACTTGTATTTACCTTAAAATCTCTTTTAAACTACACACAAACAGAACATTTATATAGAGCTTCCGAATGATAAAACAATAATGGCTGCTAACACATACCACTCCTAGAAAGAAGAAAGGAAAGAGGACACATAAGATACACTTGGTCGGTGTATCTACGCTGAGGCTATCCGCGCATGCGCACACCTTCATTTCACGCTAGAATGTAGACACAACAGTACATTATTACAAAGAGTCTATATACATATATATATATATATATATATATATATATATATTTATATTATGTGTATACGTCACATTTTTACAAGGTGTGTACTATAGGCACAACTATGACACGAAGTATCACACATACATATGACTTATACATTGTATGTCTCATATACCGATGTCAGATTTCATCATTTTAATAATTATTTGTTACGTTACAAGAAACTCTTTAGAATCTTGAGTGCATACGGTATACAACTAGTAAACACTGTATCACACAATTTTATCAGTATAAACCTGCGTGTATCTCATATGTATATGTTAGAACTAGATGAATACTTAGGTGCACTTTAACATATGTTGTTTCTCATGTGTCTCCCTTGTAGAAACGTAATTTCATTTGGACGTGCTATATGGGATGTTTCTTTCTCAATACTCAACATTGGTTTAGATTTATTTCAAACATTAGTTGAGCTATGGGAGAGAAAATTATTTAAATTCGTTTTTATATTACTTAAAATATATGAAATATAATCTCATACAAGGTGGTAAATGTTATTCCAGTTCAAAACAATAAAACACCAAAGTCAAATTTAACCTAAATAAAAAAATCCATATCATGCAGACTTTATCTGTAAAACAAGATAAAACAGGATTGATAATTACAGAAAAAATTGATAAATCAAATATTTTTCCCGAGATTTCATAAAATTTTGACAAGATATTGTAATGAGCAAAGCAGACAGGCCAAACAGTTTACAGTAGAAAGGCCAAACATCTCAAAATTTCGACTGACTTGATGAAGCAGAGATATGAAACTCTAGTGGTTCTGTTAACAGGACATTGGAAGCTCAATAGGTACCTATTTAAAGCTAAAGGTGTTGACAGACGAAACCAAATTCTGTCAATCATAAGAAAAAACGGCAGAATGTTTTTTTATGTGCTTGCGATACTTATACAGGGCGTCCCCTGACATATTCGGTGGACATAGAACTACTACGCATTTTTGGAATGAAAATAAGTTCATTGGGAACAATTTATCTCTATACAAAAGTGCTTGGCTTGTCCGTCAGAGGGCATCAACCCATACAGCACATCAAATCACATTTACGATGTTTTTACATTATTAGATGTAGACACAGGGTGACACAATTCCCCCGATGTAAATATGCTACGTTTACACATTGTAGTTCAACACGTATGCACAAAGGTTAAACGTCCGCCTCACAATGTAGCCACAGTATAGCATTTACGTATACACAAAGTAAGGGATACACAGTGTGCCGTAGGATACACAGTGCTTGTGTATTACGTTTAAACTATGTTTATACATTGCAGTTGTGGCTACCGCGTGTATACGTATGTATTTTGCTTCGTATATACATCTTGTGCTAGATAAAACTTATGAACGAATTTAGGAAATAATACAAGTTTTGATGCCTAACTTTTCGTTCTTTTTAAGAAATGTTTATTCAATGATACCAATTATATATTTTTAGAACGAAAATTAGGGATGCAAAACTTTGTATTTTCCAAAAGTATCTCGATCGTAAGTTCAAGAGAAGTAGCCTTAAAATTGTTCTATTTTTGTTTTGTATTAAATGTACCATTTTTCTTCCATAAAATGGATTAAGTGGTTAAAAAATAAAATTCTTATATTTCTTTATATCATGGAACGCAATAGCGCAAATAACACAATAATAATAATTATTTACACTGCAGAAACCAGAAGTAAGAAAACACTTTAAAACAACAGAATTTGTATCAAAATGTATTTTAGATACAACATACTAAAATTGTAAACACTGGTATATCGTCACGATTTGGTGGACCTCGTTTAGTCACTTTTTCTCCTCTTTTCCCTCCAAGCAGTTGGTTTATTAGCATACTCATTCATTGAGCACTCTGTTATATGAAACTGATTATTGAATATTAAACATATCTGTATATCGATCCATCAATAACTTACCGAATATCAGTGTAAGAAGTTCTTTGAAGTGTTTAAATCTTTCTTTCTCTGGTCCATTTAGATTTTTATTATTTCCAAATTAAAAAAAATTATATTGCAGAGCTAACTCAGCTAACCTCTTTATCATTATACGAGAATATTTGGAGTCTTCACTCATTGGAGTCAAAATTTGGTAAATTGGGTATCGAGTAAGGGAAGAGTCGCTGCTATAATATTAATAATACTCTTAGGAAGGTGTAACAAGGTAATTAAAAACTTGTACTTACCTTAAAATCTCTTTTAAACTACACACAAACAGAACATTTATATAGAGCTTCCGAATGATAAAACAATAATGGCTGCTAACACATACCGCTCCTAGAAAGGAGAAAGGAGAGGGACACATAAGATACACTTGGTCGGTGTATCTACGCTGAGGCTATCCGCGCATGCGCACACCTTCATTTCATGCTAGAATGTAGACACAGCAGTACACTATTACAAAGTGTCTATATAGATATTTATATTATGTGTATACGTCACATTTTTACAAGGTGTGTACTATAGGCTCAACTATGATACGAAGTATCACACATACATATGACTTATACATTGTATGTCTCATATACCGACGTCAGATTTCATCATTTTAATAATTATTTGTTACGTTACAAAAAACTCTTTAGAATCTTGAGTGCATACGGTATACAACTAGTAAACACTGTATCACACAATTCTATCAATATAAACCTGCGTGTATCTCATATGTACATGTTAGAACTAGATGAACACTTAGGTTCACTTTAACATATGTTGTTTCTCATGTGTCTCCCTTGTAGAAACGTAATTTCATTTGGACGTGCTATATGGGAAACTTTAAAAAAATAAACACATTTTTTCTTATATTAAGAACCTTTGGGTGAAACAGATATAATATTTGTATAGTTTTCTTCTCAACCGGATACTGCTCTGCACGAGTCGTCACTGCATACTTTTACTTTTATTTACCCTAAAGCACAGGAAGCTTTAAATATTCTGCGGTTGGTTTAATCCGGGCATTGAATTTAACCACGGATTAAAAAGCTGCTTCGTTTTGCTTAGGGGCGGCGAACACCAAACGAAATTTGCGCCTAAATAGCTTTTTAAGAAAGCAGATCAAACGTTGCCGACGAACTGTGTGAGATTTGTGAATTAATATTGAAGAGGTTAACCAATGATCAATGAACTACATCTTTTAGAAAACATATAGGTTTAAATACGAGAGTTTCTTTGTTAATATATCTTTTGAGAATTGAAAAGTTCATTAAAATTATATACAGGTTGAGTCTTAAATAAGTGCAAAAATTTTCACGGCTGTTAGATCTTGATAAAAGAAACATATATTTTCCCTTTACCGTATTTCAAATAAGTCCAAAATACCACAGATATTT